GCCGAGTTGAAGGTCGCGGCCTGGTACATCATCGTCTCTCGCGAAGATGCGCACTGTATGTTTCCCCCCAAGTGTTCGACGGTCTCGAGCATCTCGTCCGCGGTCCGCTTGTCGGTCGACTTGAAGGCCAGCCGGTCCATGATGTGGCTCGCGCCGCGGAGGTAGTCGTTCTCGTACCGCGAGCCGGCGTCGATGTAGACGCCCACGCCGGAGAAGGCATCAGGCAGGTCTTCGGAGGCGACGCGGATGCCGTTCGGTAGGCGCGTGATCTTGTCGAGCTGTGTCGGTTCTTGGGCGGGTGGTGTGGTGACGGACGCTAGTGTTCGGACGCCCAGGACTCTCTGTGCAGTAAGTCGACAGGTGTTCCATGTCCGAGCCGCCGGCCTGGCTAGCCGGGTCGTTCTCAACATGGTTGCGTGTGGGCGAGGGCGTAGGGAGCTATTGCCTGGTCATGTCTTGTGGTCGTGTAAGTAATGTCGCGGCTCGGCAGCACGGAATTGGCCAGCGACAAAAATCGGTTATCGATAGACTCAATCTCCGTCCTCCTGTGCTGGACGGCAAGATCCGATGGCTCGGCTCCACAAATGAAGTCATCCGAGCTCGCTTCCACCTGTAAATCCGATAACCCAGCAGGGATCTGATCCGAAGTCTCAGGGTTAGGGTTTATACAGTGATTTGAAATTGAAGCTTTCAGAATGCATCAATTACACGCTGACAGCCGGCTGCATGATGGATATAGTACTCAGCAAGCCACCTGTGGCAAGATTAGCCCCGAATGCACCGGTCAGACCGATCAGCGTACCATCGGGTCCAGCACTCGTCTGGGAACCACTCTGCCGAGCGAGTGGTTCAGACCCGTCCCAGGTGGTCTAGACTTGGGAGTTGGGACGGGTCATGGTTGTGCGACCAGCAGGCCGTGCCGCCGTCTGAAGGCGTCCAAAAAAAGGGCATTCTAGGCTCACATGCTTCTTGCATTGCATGAGGGTTCCTTTTAGCTCTTAGGGGCAGAGAAGGCACACGACAACACGATGGGGTCTAGTCTAGACCTAGGCGTTGCGCTAAAATACAGTAGAAGCGAGACAAGTCGCTTTGTCCACGGACTGGGCATCGTATAATACAATCCAACTGGATCCCTTTCATCGTCTTCTGGTCCATGGTCGGCCCCTGAGATACATCTACGAGTTCTGTCAGATCCTTCTCGTAAAGCCGCATTTGTACCTAGGTAGCTGCCTGCCTCTCATTTCGCCGTCTTCTTCAATTACTTTTGAGAGTTGTACAACAAACCCGTCACGAGTCTAGTCTGACTGGCCTCAACCGCTTGCTGCCTGTGTCGCTTGTGATGGCTTGGGGGCTGTTCTCATGAAACAAGTCACTAAAAGTCTTGTCAACCCCTCCTCTCCCGAGTTGAGTTGGTGAGCCTTGTTTGCCACCTCGAGTGTCAGCTTTTGGACTGGAGAGATCATCTCGAGGGTCACATTATCCTTCTCTCGTCAAGGTATGTGGTTGTCGAGTCGCCGTCGTAAGACCACGATGAGCCCGACACTTTGTCACGACACCCCCACATTATCACTTACACTTACACTAATGTGTTCAATGTTAGCTCTCCTCACACCTCCCTGTTAGTCCCTGTCCCTCAGGTTGAGCATAATCCAGATCCATTTCACTCCCAAACACAAGCGACTCCCTTCGTTAAACTGCCTCGTTCTACAACTACTGTCCCCATCCTGTGCTATACAACTAACCTGACAAGTTATATAACGTTGTCAAACGTCTGAAAGTCCGAGCTTTTCGAGGCAGTACGACTTGGTACCTGCCATTTCCAGCGGCATACGGCAGTTTTAATTGATTCAACCCACTCCTTCCGAAACCGAAACCTGGGATCTCCATTTCTCCACCACGGGTTGGACGCCGACGCTGGATGAACGGCTGAACAAACCTGGGATTCACCTCGGGCCTTGCATCATCTCAAATCCAATGTTCACCCAAGTTCCTGCACAGGCGCCCACATCATCGGGTCTCCCGCATCAACACCAGACATCTTCCTCGCCTTCACGGCCAAGTCGTCTCAGGGGCCTCAGTTATTTGAGGAACTACACCCACACCCACCTCCTGTCGAGGGAACATTCGGGCTCCGGCTCTGGTCAAAGTCAACAACACAGCGGCCAAACAACGCCATCATCGCCCACGGCCGGCCCAAACCTTACGCAAACCTCGTCCTTAAGCACATCGCCTGCCAGACCTACACTTACTCTGCACCGAACTACCAGCGCCTCTGCCGCGACCACACTCTCTTCGAATCAGGCCACCGCCGCCTCGAATACCTCGACAGCCTCACCGCGGAGGAATACGAACCGTCTGACCCTCGTCAACAACCACGAGGCACACCCTCTCAGCTTAGCACCTCCCTCCCGTCCTAACGTCAGTCGAAGGTCAACCGATTCTGTCCTCCCTCCCGTCCTCGTCGACCTCGCAAACGCCGTTGCCGAGCCCCGGCTCTCCTCCCCCTCGACCACCGGAGCGGCGACGCTCTCGGCCGATTCTACAAACCCCAACATGGTACGCACCCGGTCTGCCACAATGTCCGAGACAACGGCTGCACACAACGGCGGAACCGCCACCGCCCCGGACATACTCCCCTCCATCCGCTTCAGCACCTTTTACGACCCACGCGCCGTCCGCCCCTCCCTCACCTTCTCCCCCGTCTCGAGGACGCTGCCGACCGGCACCGAGGTGATCAAGGTGGGCCGGTACTCGGAGCGCGACAGCCAGCCCAACATACCGCCCAACATCCCCTCGGCCGCGCCCGTGGGGTTCAAGAGCAAAGTCGTCAGCAGGCGGCACTGCGAGTTCTGGTGCGAGGGCGGCAAGTGGTACATCAAGGACGTCAAGAGCAGCTCCGGCACCTTCCTCAACCACATCCGCCTGAGCCCGCCGGGGACCGAGTCCAAGCCCTTTCCGATAAACGACGGGGATATAGTGCAGCTGGGCATCGACTTCAAGGGCGGGGAGGAGATGATATTCCGGTGTGTCAAGATGAGGCTGGAGTTGAACCGCGGGTGGCAGAACAAGCTTAATGCATTCAAGTAAGTTGGTCGAAGTGGGAGTCTGTATCTGGACAAAGCTAACGGCAAATGTGAAGTTTGACAACGCACAAAAGATTACGAAACATGACCGCGAGCTCGGGAGGCGCCTCTTCGACGCAGGACTGCTCTATATGCCTAAACAGCATTGCGGTAAGTTTCGTCCCCTCCACAACCACCCAGCAACTACCGGCGCTGACCTCCACCGCCTACAGCCCTGCCAGTGCCTCTTCGTCGCCCCCTGCTCGCACACATGGCACTACAAGTGCATACGATCGCTACTCACCTCCCCCTCCTACCCGATCTTCATCTGCCCCAACTGCCGCGCAGCCGCAGACCTAGAAGCCGACGTCGAGGATCCAGAAGAATGGGAACAAGTCGACTCGGAAGAGGACCCCAACGAGCAGGAGCAGGAAGGCGCCCCCCTACAACCACCACCCGTTAGCAACGGAACACCCTCACACACCACCACTTCCGCGCCCTCCCGCCGATCAAGCGTACGCCCTCCCTCCGCCCCATCACCCGAACACCAGCAGCACCACGACCAAGACGAAGTGGACGTGACGATGATGGAACCACCGCCCCCACCATCCACCAATTCCTCAGCCACCTCGTCCTCCACCTCCTCCTCGAACCCCCGGCCATTGGTATCGAACGCCACCTCCTCCCCGATGCCGATCCCCATCCCCCGCTCCGCGTCTAGCACGCACACCCACTCGTCGTCGGGAGCCACGACCTCCTCCAGCAGCGTCCAAGCCGGGAGGAACACCAACACCCGCACCCCGTCGCCCTCGAACCCGAACGGTGGACCGGTTATGAACGGTCATGAAGGGCCGATTACCCCGAGGAATGATGCGGGGCCGTGGGTGTTCGACGGCAGCGGGGTTAGGATGAGGCTAGGTGGCGACGCCGGAGGGACGGCGAGTTTGAATGCCGCCGCTGCTCGGGTAGCGCAGGACGGGGACGAGATGATATTGGATGAGATACATGTCGGTGTTGGGGATGAGATACACGTTAGAGGAGGAGGTAGAGGTGATGGGGGGGAGATACATGTTGGTGGGGGTGGGCATGGGGAGATTCACGTCGGCGGTCCTAATGGGGAGGAGATACACGTCATGGATAACGGGGAGATACACGTCAGGGGGGATGCATAGCCTGTGGGGTGGGAGGGTAGGCGATGGTGTTCAATTGGAGGGGAAGACGAAGGGTGGGTGTTGGGGGAAGGATAGGAGAGGGAGTAATACGGTGTTAGGAAAGACTGGGCATGGAACGAGCATGATCTACCCCCTCGGGTAGAAGGCGAACTTAATATGGGGTCCAGCACCGGCGTTCCTACCATTTATATTTTCTGTTTTTACGCTTTGTTTTTTTGCTTTGCTTTTGCGTTACTCTCTGTTCTGTTCCGCTGCACATATCGGAGCAAGTTCCACGGAGGGACGGTACTGGCCAGGTGGTGTTAGGGGGAAAGAGCTGTTGGACGGAGCAGGGAGGCTTGATACCAATTGTCCGTTGTCGTTTTTCACTGCTCCATTGAGTACTCTCGGGCCCCGGGTCTGTAGTTGTGAAGCTACATGATCTCTGTAAGGGGTAGGAAAGTCTGTATCTCAGACCTGAGAGGTCCTCGCATAAATAGGATCATCATGTATATGGTCCGGAGACTCTCAACTTCCTTACTGATAGTCCTAACGTTGAGAGAAAGTTACCACAATCCATGGCCCGTCACTGCGAGCAGTCCGTCACTGGAAACGTGTGGTGAAGGTAAGGTAGGGAAGGCAACCAACAGCAGCCACGTTTACTTCACTCCCCATCTCACCACCACCTCACCGCCACCTCACCAGCCAGGGCTGTATTCTTCACTCACCACGAGCCATCCACATAACCCACTTTCCCACCTCCTCCTACTAACAACAAGCAAGCAAGGCCCGGTTGGTGTAGCGGTAACACGAGCAGTGTGGCAGTAGGTCGCGTGAAGCATTAAGTCCACCAAGATGTAAGTTAGTCCCCGGTTCGACTCCGGGATCGGGCACCTTCTTTTTTGGTATGGGGATTTTTCTTTGCCTCATCTCAAGATACGGGATAAGTATGAAGACTTGAACCGGAAACACTTGCTTGCCATTTGAAATACACTACTCTTTCCCAAGTCCTTACCACACAGACAGCCACGCACTCTGCCCATCTCGCTCTTAACCTTCCACTATAACGACTCCCCTTAAGCCTAACACATCACTTCCTAAAAACCCCCTGCCCAACCCTCTCCACCTCCCTCGCCTCAGCCGTGCCCCTAGCACCCTCCAGCACCCTCTTAAACCCCTCCGCATCCTTCAGCCTCACAGCCTCCTCCGCCGCCCTCACCCTCATGCCGCACTCCTCGTACATCCTCACGCTCCTCCCCGGCTCCAGCCCACCGGCCGCAACACACTTCCCGACGAACACCCCCGCCAGCCGCGAGTTGCCCGCCCTCAGTACCTCGTTGTAGAACGGCTCCCACCCGATGGGGCTCTTCTTCACTTTAGCGATCTCCTCGAGCTCGTTGAAGTCGCGCTTCGCGACGAGCGCGCGCAGGCGCAGCCACCAGAAGACGCGCTCGGGGACGCGGAACTCGGAGGACACCTTCTTCGCGCGCGACGCGTACCCCAGCCGGAAGAGCTTGAGGATGGTGTTGTTCACCGAGAGGCCGGTAAAGGTGTCCGTCAGGTCGCGGTCGAGGGATTCCTGCAGGCGTAAGAGGGAGGCGGCTTCTTTTAGCGAGGCGAGCTCGAAGGCGTTTTCCTTGGCGTTGTCGGCGAGGAGTTTGGCGGCCAGGGCGAGCTTGTCGGACGCCGTGCGGCTGTCGGGCTGCCGGAGGGCCTCGCGGATGAAGACGGCCGCGCCGTCGAGGCGGCGGTCGTCCTGGTAGTAGAGGTCTTTGAGTAAGGCGGAGTCCTCCGTCGTCCTCCCGTCCGCGCTGCCGCCGCTGCGGCGGGCGAAGGATTCGACGAGGGATGTGGCGAGGGGGCGGGAGTTGATGGTGCGGAAGAAGGAGGCGAGGGGGAGCTTGCGGCGGAGGTGGTGGAGGACGAAGGTGACGAGGTCGGTGTCGCCGGACTCGATGGCTTTGTCGAGGGCGAGCTCGTCTTCTTCCATGGATAGGAGGAGGGGGACTTGGCGACCTGCTCTGGGTTCGTGGTTGAGGAGCTGGGTGGCTAGGCGGCCGCGCCCTTCGTCGTGGGCGGCGCGGGCGATGGACTCGAAGGATATGCCGGGCTTGCCGGCTAGCTTGTCGACTACGAGGCGGCAGATGGTGTCGTCGTCTTCGGCGCCGAGGCGGACCTTGGCGCTGGCCCAGTGCACGTAGATCTTGTCCGTGGGGAGGCGGAGGTAGCCTGCTATGCGCAGCGCCAGGAGGTACTCGTGCCGGGAGAGCAGACGGGCGATCAGACCCTCGGGCGTGAGGCGGAGGTACTGCTCGTAGGATAGCGGCAGGCCAACCTCGAAAAAGCGCACGGCGTTGAGGACGCGTAGGGTCTCGCACATGTCGACGAAGTCGTCGCTGTTGTAGATGTCCAAGACGGACTTGCCGAAAGAGGCGGCCTTGAGAAGCTGCTTCTGCCAGTGCACGGAAAATTCCTGACCGGCGGCGTTGACGCAGGCGTCCACTGCTTCGGGAAGCTGGGGCCGGATGAGCTGGATGTCGTCGTCGGCTTTGGGGCTCTGGGCCTCGAGCTGGTCGACGGCATCGAGGAGGACGGAGGCGGGGGACTCGGTGCCGATGCCGAAAGCTTCCTCAGTCACGTCTGGGACCTTTTGGAGGAAGTCGCAGAGGTTGTTGCTCACCACCCGCACTCCGTCGACGTCGGGCACGATGTGAAGGCGGTTATCGTAGTAGAACTTGGCCACGGCGGCCCTGGGCCCAACGACGTGCACCTCATCCTCCCAGGCTACGACGACGGCGTCGTTCCCGCACCAGTGCAGGTAGTTGGGCCGGATTTTGGAGTGCGAGTCGTACTCACTCAGCCGGTTGGTGAAGTCTGCCGTGATAACATGCGCTTTCCCGGTGGCTGTGTAGAGGGCGGCGAACTTGCCGTTGGGGGAGACGGCGATGTGCGCGAAGGGGCCGATGTCGAGGAAGCGGTCCTCGCATTCTGTGGCGTCGACTACGTAGACGGTCTGGCCGATGCTGAGCAGAACCTCGACGGAACGGGAGAGGGTGTAGTTTGGCGGGATGATGGCCCAGGAGTGAACTTTTCCTTCTGGTGGAGTTGCGAGGGGTTTTGGCCGCGGCTCGTGGTAGGATGCGACTGAGATTAAGGTGTTGTTTGAGAGAAGAGCGACCATGCCGTCGTGGTAAAACTTGCAGGAGGCCACGCCGACGTCCTCGGCGCCGTGGCCGAGAGAGAACTGGGTGAAGTCATCTTGGAGCCCGTAGTAGCACCTCACTGTGCCGTCGTTTGTGATGACCAGCAGCTTCTCGTCAGCGGACCAGCCTAAACCCTTGATGGCGCCATTGTCCCACTTGATGCTCCTCAGCAGCTTGCCGGCGCAGCTGTAGATGTCGATGGTCGGCTTGGATGACTTGGTGGGTTGGTAGGCCACCAGCTTGCTCTCATCGCGGTATAGCGCTGTTGCGCGTGTCAGTATGAGTCTATCACACTCATGGCAGCTGAGACTTACCGATAGCGCCTGCATAGGGGGCACCGGCGACAATGTAGTTGTCGAGGTCGAGATCCTCATCGAAGATAGCTGTATACAGGGAGATCTTCCGGTAGAAGCGCTCCCCGACCTGCTCCCATCCTTCTGTGGGATGAGGTGCCTCCATTTCTAGTCATATCATCTTCGCATCCACCCAGTAGTTGTAAGTTGTGGTCTATTACGTGTGTATAAGTCAACATGCATGAGCTCAATGAAGGCGTCCATCCATCCAACGAGTGAGTGAGAGAGTGCAAGTGGAGCACCTCGGGGCCACTTCACCCCTGTCACAGGAGCTCGGGCCATTCCGTGCTTGTGACAGCGCCAAGCTTTCCTCCACGTAACAGCTCCATTCTCACAATCCGCCAGCATTAGGTTCAAACCCGACTTTCATTCAACTTTGTTAGCGTTCGGACAACCACCAGACATACCCGAGTCGTGGAAGTATACACGCTGCTTGCTGGCGAGTGGCAGAGGCACCTAAGATGCCCAACTGGCGCGATGAGTACCTCAGCAACATAGAGAAGGCTCAGAGCGAACAACATGTCGATCGGGAACTCATAGCAGCCTGTCAGTCCTGACCCCGCCATGTTATCTTAACCCACTACGATCGACAGATGTCTAACCATGCCACCCGCAGATTCACAGCTCATCGACCGCGTAACAGCTCTGGAAGCTGAACAGGCAGCCCTACAAGACGCCCAAGCCCAAGCCCCAACCCAACCCTCCTCTCGCAGACCATCATCAACCCGCCAACCCCCCTCCAACACGCCTCCTCCACAGCCCGACGACGCTTCAACCGACAAACCCCTCTCCCGCCTACGTCAAGACCTAGCCGAATCACTCCGCCAGAAGGGCCAGCTCCAGACCCGCCTCAAAGCGGCAGAAGACGAGCTCTCACGCCTCCGGGCGCAGACCTTGACAGACAGGAACGCGATCCGCGGCCTAGAGGCTGAGCGCAAGTCGCTGACCCGCAAGCTGCGCGACCGCGAGGACGAGCTGCGCGAGAAGCAGAAGCTTGTCGCCAATGTGCAAGACGAGATGACTGTGCTGAACATGGAGCTCACTGTCGCTGTGCGGGAGAAGAACAAGGCGCAGGATGAGACCAAGGTCCTGGTCGATCGATGGATGAGAAGGATGGGGCAGGAGGCGGAGGAGATGAATAATGCTAATGAGCCGGGGTTGGCGAGGAGGTGATGGACTCGGTGCCGTTGGGCATCATCCAGTCTCCAAGGGGTATGTCACGCGAAGGGCAAGGGGATGTAATAGTGTGGTTTCTCCGCCAGGTATGTACGTACACTGACTGTGCGGTTTCTCTCATTGTACAATGCAATGCCGTCGTTTTCATTTCCGCTGTTGATGCTAAACTTTCTTTATACAAACGCTCGGGTAGTGCCGTCCCTGTGGTATCCTGATGCTAAACAAATCTGTTCTCCCCTTTCCAACTCCTACGCGCTATAACCACCGCCTAACCATGATTGTTGCTGATGTTGTGCTCTAGCCCACCGTTATTTCTTCGTCGATATGCAATACGTCCCTCCCACGCCCGTCCAACTGACATAGTCCGGCGGGTACGTGAGATCCTCAACGTCCAATATGCTCATGGCAACATCATTCGTCGAGCTCTTGTGCTCGTGCACGAAGCTCTTGAGCGACACGATCTTGCAACCCGATTTCAGGTCCAGGAACATGCTCACGAGGTGGTCGTTCAGCTGCGGATTGAACGCCTGATTGTTCACGAGCACGACATCGGCGCGTCTGAGCACCTCGAGGATTCGCTCATTCGTCCTGAAATCGCCCCTCTCGAGCCGCACCTTGCCCGGCGCAACTCCCCACAGCTGGCAGCGCGCCTGAAACTCTCTCAGCTGGGCCTCGGCCAGATCGCAGGCGTTCTCCATCATCTCGCAGCCCCAACTCTCACAGCCTATCTCCAGCGCCGCTTGGAGGACCACGTTGCCGACCCCGGAACCGAGGTCGACAAACACCTGCTCCGACGTCATCTTTGTCTTTTCGACTAGGATGTCCGTAATGAATCGGTGGTTCAGCTCGCCATAGACGTTGTCGGAGCCATTTGTGTACTTCCTCAGGAGCTCGACCTTTGGCGCCACAGTACGGTCGTATACTTGGCCCATAATGAAGGCGACCAGGTCGGGCGGCAGGCTCGTTATGCTATCCAGGTGCTTCGCAATGGTCCCGTCCTTCTGCAAGGCAAAGAGCCTCTTGTTGTACTCCTTGACCGCCGCCTTGAAGGCCTGGCCATCGTTGACGTTGGTGGACTTCTCCAGTTGTCGGCACAGACCCGTCGATGGTTCAAGGAACGGCTGCGCATCCTCGATGCTCAGATAGACGTCTGCAACGAAC